AGTTCCTCCCAGCTGTCTATAATTTCACTCTGAAAACACATTTTAAGCTATTTGAACACATTTAGGTTGTCTCTATAACAAACTCCATTTTAAATAGTGGGAAAAAGTTCCACTCTCATAAACATATATATACATATATACAGACGTAGATATATACATAAAATGGTAAGGAATCTAGTTATATATATATATAATGTCTTTTTGAGACAGGGTCTCCCTGTAGCCCCAGGTGGCCTGGAACCCCCTGTGTAGACAAGGCTGGCCTCAAACTCACAGAGATTAGCCTGCCTCTGCCTCCCCAGTGCTGGGATTAAAGGTGTGTATCATCACCCCCAGCTAAACTAATAGTTTTTAAAATTCTAAAATTCTAACATTTGGGAGGTTGGAGAGATGACTCAGCATTTAAGAGCACTGACTGCTTTTGCTGAGGACCTGGGTTTGATTCCCAGCACCCACATATTGGCTAACAATTGTCTGTAACTCCAGTTCTAGGGGATCCAATGCCCTCTTCTGAACTCCCTGGGTATTGCACAACATGGGTGTACCTACTACGTACCCACATGTAGGCAATACACTCATACACATAAAATAAATAAATAATGAAATTTCCACATTTGGGGGCTGGAGAGATGGGTCAGTGGTTAGTACCACTAGCAGCTCTTGCAGAGGATCAAGGTTTGATTCTCAGCACCCAGGTGGCAGTTAGCAACCGTCTGTAACTTCAGTTCCAGGGGATCTGACACTCTCTTCTGACCCCTGTGGGCAGTGTACAACACAGGTGCACTTATATACATGCAGGCAATACACTCATACACATAATATGATAAAAAATAAAAATATTTAGAGTATGTCCTATCAATGATTTCTTAAATAATTTATAGACTTATACTACTGTTTGATCCATTTCTTGTCAATGAGTATAACTCAGTTCCATTTGTTTCATAATATAAATATAATAATGATAACATATTTAGGAAGTTACATGTAAATATGTAATTCTAATTTCTTTTTTAAAATTTTACTTATTATTTTTATTTTGTGTGTATCAGTTAAGTACACCTGTGTCGTACAATGCCCGTGGAGGTCAGAAGAAGGCATTGGAACTCCTGGAAACTGGAGTTATGGACGGTTGTTAGCCACCATGTGGGTGCTGGGAATCCAACCTGGGCCTTCAGCAAGAGCAGTCAGTCCTCTTAACTGCTGAGCCATCTCTCCAGCCCCTGTAATTCTAATTTCTTAAGTAGTTTTTTTTTTTTTTCACATCGTTGCTTCTACAAACTACATCAAGACAAAACATTTTAAAAATATTACCCCAGGCCTTCTTCCTATATGCGGCCCAGAAGAGTGCTCCAAGATGGCAGTCCCCGTGGACCTAGGGTTGAAGAAGGCCTTCACGGAGCTTCAAACCCAAGTTATTGACACGCAACAAAAGGTGAAGCTTCCAGACATACAGATTGAACAGCCAAACAGAACGAAAAAGCACGCACATCTTACAAACACAGACTACGGCTTTGTTAGATGAGACTAACATGTATGAAGGTGTAGGAAGAATGTTTATTCTACAATCCAAGGAAGTAATTCACAATCAGCTGTTAGAGAAACCGAAAATAGCAGAAGAAAAAATTAAAGAACTGGAGCAGAAAATGTCCTCCCTGGAGCGGAGCGTTAATGAAGCTGAGGACGACATCCCTGAGATGCTGATGGCAGGAAGGGAACAGAAGGTGCCGCCTGGGAAAGTTCTTCCCTCCAGACCCCTCCCATTCTGGCAAGGCAGAGGGGCCTGGTGGGGTAACAGGCTCCCTCTGCCCAGATGGATGTTTATGTGGGTGGCCTGGAAGCGCTACATTCTCTCCCTGAACGCCCTTCAGTTCCCACCTATGTATTTTTCCCTGTTTATCCACCACCCCTGCCCAGGACACTCCTCTCCTGGGCAAGCCAGGAACTCCCAGCAGAGGGAAGACTAGAGTGAAAGCAGATAAAGACTTTCAAGGACTAAGCAAGTGGGTTAGACCAGTAAAAGGCTATGTTTTGCTCTGAAAAAAAAAATAGATAAAATAAAAAATAAAAATAAAAATATTATCCCAAAGTCCTTTGACTACCAAAGTTGGCACTCATCAATTAATACTTAAAAGGTCTTAAGCCTGTTTAGCCTTAAGAGACAATGTGCCCGTTCAGTTTTATCTTCTTTGGGAGACCACAGAGCCTTCACTCACTCTTGAGGTTGGATTTATTTATGGAGGAGCCCAGCACTTCGCTGCCTTCCTGCAGTGGGACTTGCTCCTTTTCCTGGCTGAAAGGGTGGCGGAGCATTACTCCTTCTTACCAAAGATCCAGTCTGGTCTAGATTTATAGACTCAGCATAAATCTCACTTGTCCTACCTGACCTCTGTGTTAGGTGACTTTTCTTTCACTAAAGTCCTTTGTCACCTGGTATTTTGGCAATTAGGTATATACAAATATTTTAGAATTTTTTTTTGCTTCAGAACAGTATGAAAACAGTACAGATTTAGGAGAAAACTATGCTTTGAATTCTGATCCTTCTTGGGCTAGCAATATGTGGTGGGATACTGCAGAAATGTCGAGCACTGGTGTAAGGCATAACTCCCATTCAGGTGAGCAAAACTGTCTTGCCAGGAATCCAACCTGGGCCTTCAGCAAGAGCAGTCAGTCCTCTTAACTGCTGAGCCATCTCTCCAGCCCCTGTAATTCTAATTTCTTAAGTAGTTTTTTTTTTTTTTCACATCGTTGCTTCTACAAACTACATCAAGACAAAACATTTTAAAAATATTACCCCAGGCCTTCTTCCTATATGCGGCCCAGAAGAGTGCTCCAAGATGGCAGTCCCCGTGGACCTAGGGTTGAAGAAGGCCTTCACGGAGCTTCAAACCCAAGTTATTGACACGCAACAAAAGGTGAAGCTTCCAGACATACAGATTGAACAGCCAAACAGAACGAAAAAGCACGCACATCTTACAAACACAGACTACGGCTTTGTTAGATGAGACTAACATGTATGAAGGTGTAGGAAGAATGTTTATTCTACAATCCAAGGAAGTAATTCACAATCAGCTGTTAGAGAAACCGAAAATAGCAGAAGAAAAAATTAAAGAACTGGAGCAGAAAATGTCCTCCCTGGAGCGGAGCGTTAATGAAGCTGAGGACGACATCCCTGAGATGCTGATGGCAGGAAGGGAACAGAAGGTGCCGCCTGGGAAAGTTCTTCCCTCCAGACCCCTCCCATTCTGGCAAGGCAGAGGGGCCTGGTGGGGTAACAGGCTCCCTCTGCCCAGATGGATGTTTATGTGGGTGGCCTGGAAGCGCTACATTCTCTCCCTGAACGCCCTTCAGTTCCCACCTATGTATTTTTCCCTGTTTATCCACCACCCCTGCCCAGGACACTCCTCTCCTGGGCAAGCCAGGAACTCCCAGCAGAGGGAAGACTAGAGTGAAAGCAGATAAAGACTTTCAAGGACTAAGCAAGTGGGTTAGACCAGTAAAAGGCTATGTTTTGCTCTGAAAAAAAAAATAGATAAAATAAAAAATAAAAATAAAAATATTATCCCAAAGTCCTTTGACTACCAAAGTTGGCACTCATCAATTAATACTTAAAAGGTCTTAAGCCTGTTTAGCCTTAAGAGACAATGTGCCCGTTCAGTTTTATCTTCTTTGGGAGACCACAGAGCCTTCACTCACTCTTGAGGTTGGATTTATTTATGGAGGAGCCCAGCACTTCGCTGCCTTCCTGCAGTGGGACTTGCTCCTTTTCCTGGCTGAAAGGGTGGCGGAGCATTACTCCTTCTTACCAAAGATCCAGTCTGGTCTAGATTTATAGACTCAGCATAAATCTCACTTGTCCTACCTGACCTCTGTGTTAGGTGACTTTTCTTTCACTAAAGTCCTTTGTCACCTGGTATTTTGGCAATTAGGTATATACAAATATTTTAGAATTTTTTTTTGCTTCAGAACAGTATGAAAACAGTACAGATTTAGGAGAAAACTATGCTTTGAATTCTGATCCTTCTTGGGCTAGCAATATGTGGTGGGATACTGCAGAAATGTCGAGCACTGGTGTAAGGCATAACTCCCATTCAGGTGAGCAAAACTGTCTTGCCAGTGTGGCTCAGACATTGTGTTTTGTGTTCTGACACCCAGACATGTCTACAAAGTACCTATCACTTTCAGAACAGTAGTCAGGATACTCAACACTTGATTATAAAACAGGCTTTTATGCCCAGAGGGTGGCACAAACCTTTAATCCCAGTGCTTAGGAAGCAGAGGCAGGGAGATCTCTTCTGATACTGAGGTCATCCTGGTCTACATAGCAAGTTCTAGGCCAGCTGGGGCTACAGGGAGACCCTGTCTCAAAAAACAAACAACAAAACCACCCAAGGCATTTATTAGGCGACTTTGCCAACTATGGTGTAGTGTGCTTGAAGTAGGCTAGGCTTCACCACAAAGTTCAGTTGTATTAAACACATGTTCCCTGACCAACACTTTTCACGTACAGTGTGTCATTAGGCCAGAGCCATTGCATGTGAGGAGTTTCTTTATGACCTTGTAACACGCTTTTCTGTCACATTTTCAAGTGTGATCTAAATCTTGCTTATTTTTTTCCAGTGACAAATTTACACCACATTTCAACAATTCTATTAGAAGGCTAGCTAAGGAAAAGACCAGCCTTACTGTTTCCTAGCACTTTGCCTTACGTGCTGAAGAAGGTTGGTAAACGCTTATTCATTTATGATAACAGTAGATTATAGAAATGAGTTATAAAGTTCTTGTTTAGTTCAATGCTTATGCACATACACAAACATACAAAAGCTCTTTTCTTACAGTCTTTTATCAAGATACTATTAATATATGACACTTGTTACTGTGTAAGCACTCTTAGTAACAGACCTAATATATCAGTCCAAATGGTATCTTTTAAGTTCTTTCTATATTTTGTTGTCTTTAAACTGTTCATTTAAGAAGGTTTGCATAAAGAGTGAATGACTTACCTTGTGAAAACCCAAGTGGAGGCACAGAAGCAACAGAAGGTGAAGCTGCTTCATGCCGGAGGTGTGCAAGGCTGCGCGTCGGCTCGAGACCCTTTTCCATGTGAGACTTTTGAAATTTAATCTTTAACCTCTGAAAAAATATTTAAAAAGAGAAAGCCTTCTAAAAACCCGTGTACGTTTGAACTCTTAAAGAATTTGGCCCAAATCCAGAGTTTTACCGTAACTGAAACAAAAACCTGGCCTGTCCAGTAAGCAGCTAAGCTAGGCAACCAATAGGAAGTCTTTTACCAGGGGATATTGCTACACTTTGGCACCGACAGTGCCCCGTTCTGTTTTCCAGAGAAGACAGAAAGTCCTGTGAAGCCAAGTTTTTTATGTCTTTGGGTAAAAAAAACTATACTCTTTTTGCTTAAAGTTGGAAACTAGAGGTGTTGAACATACAAGTATTTTTCATTGAAAATTATGCTAAATGCAGGAGGACCCCCGCCCCCCAAACAGCCTGTTCTTCACACATTGGTGCTGTGATCAATTGGTATTTTCTGAGCACAGAAAACTTTTTAAAACAAGTGTTTTTGCTCCAGTACAGCATACAGTATCAGATTCATTTGAGTTTATTGGATGTGATGCTCAATGGTACTTGCCAGCCTGACAGAACCTGGACTCACCTGGGAACCAGGCCTCTGGGTAATATCTTGATTGCCTCTCTGAGGTAGGAAGGCCTGATCATTGTGGGTGTCACTGTCCCGTGGGTGGATCAGGCACTGTGCAGGTAGGGCAGCAGCATTCATGTTCTTAGTGTCCTGACTGAAGATGGGATGCGATCTGCTGTTTGGAACTCCTGTCTCTGCACTTCCCTGCCATGAGGGACTATATCCTTGAACTGAGCAAGAGAAAAAACAAACAAACAACAACAACAACAAAAAATGTTCTCCATTAAGTCACTTTTGTCAAAATATCTTATCACTGCAACAGAAATAGGAGCTAAGATATTGAGTATTATAGCAGCAAAAAAGCTTTAAGTGGGTCTCTAGAGACAGATTTCAGCAGAGTTCCCGATGCAAGATGCTTGTTAGGGACCAATGATTCTTAAGAGTGTGAGAGGAACAGGAGCAAGCAGGGGAGGGTACAGACCGCCTATGCAAGTTCAGCAAAGCCCTGGCCTGCCTCTGGGGTGCTCAGGAGAAGAGCGTTTGGTCAGTGTCTGACTTCAACAAAGAAGACTGGGCCACTGCACCCAGCCTTGCTCAGCCACATGAGTTGCTCAGGACAGTGTGCCTGGGCCCTCTGTGAGGCTGTTTTCTGTAGCTAATGCAGCTGCTGGGGCATCTGGCAAATGCTTGCTGTCAGGAGGTGTTTTCTGACAACACTGTTGACAGCCAGGTAGTTAAGATCCTCCTTGAAGGAGCTCCAGGGAAACTCATCTGTGTCTTTTAGTCTGCTAGTCACACTTCTGCACTATTTTCTATAGTTTCTCCACAAACAGTTCTTTCAGAATTCCCATGGGCCTCTCTTCCTGAGGAAAACCTTGGGAGAGGCTTAGTGGGAAAACCCCACTGGCTCAACACTGCAGTTGATGCTGAGACTACAGCTGATTCTTGTCCTCTGTCTCTTCCTGATGAATTCCAACTTCCCTGTACCCTGAGCGTCCACTTCTATTGGCTTCAGTGGGTTGCCCGTGCATAACCCACAATTTCTTTCCGGAGTAGGCCGAGTCCCTGGCTACCATTTGCTTCTCACGTTAAAGTTGTTTCTGCTCCTTTACTGTTACAACGGGCACCCCAGAAGATCTTGTGATTGCACACATAGTCCTTCCAATTTCCAGCATGATGACAGCAGCTTCATTGCCCCTGAATTGTCAGGGCTACTTTCCCTGTCAAGATAGTAACCCCTCTGCTTTCCTGCTGGTCTCTGGACAGAAGGAGGCCAGTGTGCACCAGGTAGTGCCTTAGTTTATATTTGTTTACTGGGATTTTGCTGTTATTGTTGGTTTGAGATAGGCAATCATTGTAATTTCTTACACAACCCAGTTTCAGTCTATGTCTCTTTCTGGACCAGCTGAATGACCAGACATATCTGAAGCTTCCACTATGAGGGCTGTATTTTTTAGACTGAACGTCACAGCCCTGGAACTCAGGTTGGTATGGAACTGACAGTCCTCATGCCTTAATCCCCTAGGTACTTGAGTCAGAAGTGTACACCACTGAGCATGTTCTTACCGCCACCTTTTAAAACCAGTCCTAAAAGTGGCTGGAGTACAGATGCTGTTTATTTTTGACTTGTACCTACATACCCCACCAATCCATCTGTGAACCAGTCTGTCTTCTTATACTCGTTCATAATGCATTCCCCACAGTCATAGGTGTGAGCTGAGGCAGAAGCATCAGCGCACTGTTTCCTTGCATCTCTGAGTTACCTGATAGTGTACTTTGCTTGAGACTTCTGAATCTGTATTTGGCTATGGAGGTAATATTTTCACTAGGTCTGCTTGAACTGGGTTTTAGTTGGTCTATGAGGCTAGTCAGTTTAGTCTGTAAGGATCTCATTCATGGTGTGCAGTTCTGGACACACGGTGATGTGTGTCCTCGTCGTATTTATTCCACATTGACCAGGGAACCAGGAAAGTACAAACTGCTTCTCCTAATGAGCATTGTCCTCTGCTGCTGGCGGACTGGCTCTGCTCCAGCGCATCAAGCTCTGTGCTATGGTTCTCTCACTGAACCCTTCTCAAATACCACACGCTGGTTTCCTCTGTTGCTAACACCTTTCATACCATGGGGTCTGTTGAGATTCCTACACTGGCAGTCGGAGGAGTCCAGAGAGTCCAACTAGGTTTATGCTTCCTTCTTAGTTGAAGGAAGCATAAGGTGCAATAATCTGTCTTTTACTGTAGCTAGGACACTTTGATTTTACTGATGTGCCCAGGCTTCATCTCCGGTCTCCAGGCACTCATGCATCTTGTTGCCTAAGCCTGTCTGCTTTGATCAAGGTGGTGCCATCTGTGCAAACTGTTGACATATTTTATCAGAACAACATCCAGATTTCTGCAGATTTTATGATAGGAGGTGGGAGATAAGAGCTGGGGAGAAACTCTAACGCACACTGTGAGCTCTTCGATGTAAACACAAACTGTTTCTGAGTCTCTTTTCTGGATAAAATATCTAAATTGGTTTCAGTTTACTGGAATAAACTTTTATTGATATGCTTTGTAATATTGCTAAACTAAAATCATGGTTCTCATTTGTAAAAGACAGTCCACTGAGCCGGGAGTGGTGGTGCACATCTGTAGTCCCAGAACTTGGGAGGCAGAGGCATGGGGATCTCTGTGAGTTCAAGGCCAGCCTGCTCTACATATCGTGTTCCAGGCCAGCTGGGGCTACAGGGAGACCCTGTCTCAAATGTACAAAAAAAAAAAAGGACAGTCCACTGAAAAAAATATTAAACCTTAGGAAATGGGTGGAATTTCTCTTAAAAGTATTTAATTATATGTATGTGTATGTCTGAGTAAGTGTATGCTACAGGTGTGTCAGTGCCATCAAAGGCCAGAAGATGGTATTGGATCTTCTGGAGCTTTAGTTACAGAAGGTTGTGAGCTGCAGGGTGTGTGTGCTGGGAACCGAATTTGGATGAGCAACAAGTACTCTTAATCACTGAGCAATCTTTCCAGTCTATGAGCAGAATTTCTAAATTCTAAATAGAAGAAAATAAAATAAAAAGACATTTCTCTCTTAATATTTTTTAAATGTTAACAGTCATTTAAAAATATTTTCTTTTATTTATTACTTTTATTTTATGTGTGTGCGTGTATTGCCTGCATGTAGGTAAGTGCACCTGTGTCTTGCAATGCCCACAGAGGTCAGAAGAGGCTGTTGGATTCCCTGGGACTGGAGTTACGGATGGCTGTTAGATGCTGTGTGGGCGCTGGGATTCAAACCCATGTCTTCTGTAAGAACAACTAGTGTTCTCAACCATTGAGCCATGTCTCTAGGTCTCTAGCCCCCAGAAAGTCATTTCTATGTCCAAGGTATACTAAATTTTTTAGCATAAAAATTTGAAAATAAGGCACATAATTGAAGGTATATTTAGGTTTGTGCCTATAAAACTGAAAAATCCAAACATATTCACAAACACAGACACACACAGACACACACACAGACACACACAGAGTTTTTTTTTAAACTAGGAAAGTGCTGCTCTCAGGAACTTTCGGTGCCGAAATGTAAGAGGGTTTTGGGTGATGTTGTAAGTTAGCATAAAAATTTGAAAATAAGGCACATAATTGAAGGTATATTTAGGTTTGTGCCTATAAAACTGAAAAATCCAAACATATTCACAAACACAGACACACACAGACACACACACAGACACACACAGAGTTTTTTTTAAACTAGGAAAGTGCTGCTCTCAGGAACTTTCAGTGCCGAAATGTAAGAGGGTTTTGGGTGATGTTGTAAAGATGGCTATTAGACAGTGTTGGACTGCCTCATCACTGTGACCACACACCTGGTAAACAGTTAAGAAGGGAAAAGCTTTGATGTGGATCATGGTTTCAGAGGTGCAGGTCTGTCGCAGTGAAGAGGGCATGGTGGGACACAGGACTTTATGGTATGGTTGTCAGGAAGCAAAGACACGGGATGGGATTGAGGACCAGGCGTGACCTTCAAAGGCAAACCCCTGTAATCCACTTCCTCCAGTTAGTCCTCACCTCCCAAAGCTTTCATCACCTCCAAAATTGTACCACCAGCTGTGTTCAAGTGTTCAGTACAACCACAGTACTTAAGAACACCGGCCAGTTCCCTCAAAGTGTTTTTTTTTTTTTTAATAAACTGAAAAGCTAGAGAAAAACACATGAACCTCTTGCCACTTGCTGAAGTTTTATGACTTTGCCAATTATCTGTTCTGAGGGGAGTCATGAAACTGTTTTTGCGCATGAAAATGTTGAGGCATGAGGCACAGAGTCAAGCATTGCATGCATCAAGGAACAGAGGCTTCCTGCCAGTGGACAGTGTCAGGTTTAGAGGCTTACAAATACGTCCTCTAAGAAAAGATCCTTCCTCCCGTCAACCCTCAGAGAACTGCAGCCCTGGTCAGTACTTGACTGTAACTTTATAACAGACTGTAGAACCAGCAATTTAACACCCTTGAATTTCTGACCTTGCAACTGTGTAAGATGGTATGTGTTGATCTGGGCCACAACGTGTTGGCATTATTTATTAAATGGTAAGAAAAGCCAATACAGGTTTTGGTTTTTAGAAGTATATTTGAGTTGAAAAGTGAATGCCCAGGGAATAGTTCACCTCATGATTTGCCAGTGAGGGATGACTGCGGAAATGAGCTTGCCTGGCAGACAAGTTTTCATCACATGAACAAGTTTGGGCACAGTTATAAGATTCACAGAGGAAACATTCCTGTTCAAAAAGATCACCGAGTTGCACAACAATATGAATGGACTTACTGTTGCTGAGAATGGTTCCTCCACTGCTTGGATTTGAGAACGAGGACATCTCACGCCTTACTGGAAACCATGTGAGAAAACGCACAGAAAAAAATCATGGAGCATTTTCCTTTCCTTTTGACACAGGGCCCCTTTCCCAGGATTTTCACAGCTCAGGCTCCAGTCCCAGCACCCACATGGTGCCTACCAACCAACTGTAACTCCAGTCCCAGGACATCTGACGTCCTCTTCTGACCTCTACAGGCATTGCACTACATGGGTGCACTTACACACATGCAGGCAATACACTCATAAACATAAAATGAAAATAATAAAATTAAAATTACAAAAGCACTGACAACTATTGGGTCATTGTGTTCACAACTTGTTCAGTGTGCGTGTGTGTGTGTGCGTGTGTATCATTTTATGCAGGGGGTCTGGAAACCATTCAAAGCACTTTTTCATGGTAAGAAGATAGAAAAGGATTGCTCTAGTGGGGCTTCTGTAGCAAGGAGGAAGAAACAAAAAATAATAAAATTAAAATTACAAAAGCACTGACAACTATTGGGTCATTGTGTTCACAACTTGTTCAGTGTGCGTGTGTGTGTGTGCGTGTGTATCATTTTATGCAGGGGGTCTGGAAACCATTCAAAGCACTTTTTCATGGTAAGAAGATAGAAAAGGATTGCTCTAGTGGGGCTTCTGTAGCAAGGAGGAAGAAACAAAAAGCCAGATAAAGAGTGCTAGGCAGTGATGCTTGCCTGATGGGGCAGATGACATGCACACTTATCAATTATCAACTATATAGAAGGCTTCAGTAATGGAGACTTTAGAAATACTGCTAAGTGAAATTGCGGAGCTCTCTGGGGTCCTGAGAATGGAGACTGCACGAGGCAGTTATTTTAGTAGGCTCACTGTATCATCAAATGCAAAACAGATGGAAGAAGTTAGACCTACCAGTATGCAGTGTGAGGCAACAAACATGCCCACATTGTGATATGTTGCCTGTTATGTTTGGACATTTGCAATCTTGTAGACTATATTGAATGGGAACAAAACAATGTGGCAGTAACAAGAGACCTGTAGTTGGTTGATGTGTACAAACTTATTCACATGGTACTAACAGAAATGAATCACTTTTGATAAAAGAGACTGCGGCAAATATAGGATGGGAATGGTGATAATGCTGATAGGGAAAGAGGAGTGTGCTCAAAGGTGCTGAATTCAGACATTAGACACCCAGGGAATGGGGCTGGAGAGACAGATCAGCAGTTAAGAGAACTGGCTGCTCTTGCAGAGGACCCAGGTTTGGTTCCCAGCACCCACATGGCAGCTAACAACCTTCAGTAACTCCAGTCTTCTTCTAACCTCCTCAGGCATGGGTGCATTTAACTTACATGCAGGCAAAACACATACACATAACATATAAATATTTTAAAAATAAACCAAGAGAATGACGCTACTCTGAGAGAACTGTAAGGATAGACAATTTGGGAGGAAGAGGGAAGTGGGAAACAGCCAGCCTCATGTGAGAATTCAGTATTTTAGTTTGTCTTCTAACTAGATGGGGGAGTTATTTCTCTCCTCTGAATGTCAGTTCTTTTTTTAAAAAAATCTTTTTGAGATGGGGTCTCCCTGTAGCCCCAGCTGTCCTGGAACTCACTATGTAAACCAGGCTGGGCTTGAACTCATAAGAGATCCACCTGCCTCTGCCTCCTGAGTGCCGGGTGAATGTCAGGTCTTTATTTATAAAGTGGTAAGATGCCAGGTGTTATCATACACATTCAGTAATTTTATTTATCAAACTGAGTTGGAGATTATCAGCGGGACATTAAATGCGCGTGCACTGAAATTAATGTTAGATGACAGGGCAAAATGGTAAGTTATGGTAACTCTACCCTTCTATGATGTACAGAATCTAAAGTACAGTTATGAAGTATGAATTTAAAGTGCATTTACCTAACTTTTCTGTGGTTCTTAGCTGTACCTTCAAGAAGATTATACTTTAGGGTAGATAACGTACTTGAATTCCTAATGTTAATATTAAAGTCTACAGGGATCTTTCAAAAACTCCTTTACAAATAACCCTCTGAAATGGGTATCAGTCTCTACCTTCTTTCAGAGAAAGATTTAATTAAAATTTAATCTAGGGAGCTGGAGATATGTCTCAGCTGTTCAGAGTACTTAATGCTCTTCCAGAGGACCTGCTGTCTCAGCTGTTCAGAGTACTTAATGCTCTTCCAGAGGACCTGCCTCTTAGGCACCTATGTTGGGCAGCTCATGACTGCATTTAACAGCAACTCCAGGGAATCTGATGCCCTCTTCTGGTCTCCAAGGGCACAGATGTGTATACACACACACACACACACACACACACACACACACACACACACACACACTAAAAACAAAATATAAATATTAAACAAGGAAATAATAAATAAAATCTGGGAATGGTAGCAGTCCATTTGTAACCCAATGCTCAGAAAACAGGGGCAGGAAGATCACGAGTACAAGGGCAGCCTTTGTTACATATATAGTTGCAGGCCAGCATAGATTATAAGCAAGACCCTGGCTCAGAGAAATAAATAATATAAATAAATAGACAAACCTAAAATAAAATGTTTATATAGGTCTATGATAAGTATCAACATCAAGGAAGTTCTCAGTAGATTGTTGGATAGAAAAGAAGCTGATAAAATTCAACACATAGAGGTCACCTTTAGTTTGAGAGTTTTAGTGTGGTAGGGAGGCGGAAGTCAGACAGCAGAGAGTCAAGGAGGGGAGGAGAGGCTTCAGATTGTGTCAGCATGGACATCCTGCTAGCCTTGGTTTGGAGGAAGGGGATTCGGACACCAGCTGTCTCCAAGGGCAACGCGAAGCAACACTTCCAGGAACGTCCCGCTACCGTGGACGCCCTCATTTCACGTCATCTCCGCTGCTCTCTAGGGAAGTGGCGCTGGGGTGATGAGGTTCGGTGCGGTTGTTTCTCTTCCGGGCCGTGCGCTCTTTCCAGCAGGGCTTTAGGGTCGCTGCATCCGGAGTGACAGGCTCTTTGCAAACGAATCATTCGAGTTTCTGGTCTTTTTAAAAGATCGTGCTGGTACGGTGGCCGAGGAGGTGTGCGCGCGCGGAAGTAGCCTGCAGTGCGTGTGCGCGCCAGGCCCGGGCAGAGCGCACGTGGCGCAGTGAGTGCCGCGGGATTTGGACTGCGGCGGGAGGCCGGGAGGGAGGGAGGGACCGGGAAGAGGCTGATGGACCAGGGAGAGGTGGCTGGACAGCGGAAGGATGGACCGGGCAGGGTCGCGGCTGGGCACTGGGCGCCCCTTGCTCGCCCTCGGTGTGGACCGGCGGAAGGCTGCCGTGACACTGGCCTTTCCGGTGTTGTGAGGTAGGCCGAGCGGAAGCCACACGGTCGTTTTCACCTGGCAGGAGACAGCATGTCTTTCCGAGGCGGAGGACGTGGAGGCTTTAATCGAGGTGGCGGCGGCGGCTTCAGCCGTGGCGGCGGGAGCAATAACCACTTCCGCGGCGGAGGCGGCGGCAGCTTCAGGGGCGGCGGCCGTGGAGGCTTTGGCAGAGGCGGCGGCCGCGGAGGCTTTAACAAAGGGCAAGACCAGGGACCCCCGGAACGCGTCGTCTGTATGTCATCTTCAATGCTTAACCCCATTGGAGCAGCGGGCTGGAGTTGGGTAGTGGGATTTATGTTGTTAGCAAGTTGAACGGTAGGTCCAGACTCTTATAGGCAGTGTGGCTGGGAGGCAAGTCTGTAGGGCTGTGACCGTTCACAGAGCCATACTGTCATGAGGCCTGAAGGTTACTGAAAATACATAATGGAGGTGGAACTTTCGTGTGGACGGAATCTAGCCCTTTGTAACAGATGAGGAAACAATTCAGGTTTAAATTCTTTGCTAGGATAGTAAGACTGCTTGATGCGATCCCCAGTGGTATACTTGAAATGCAAAGCGAAGTTTGTAGATTCTACAGTGGGTCCTTTCAGTTACAAAAACCAAGAGAAGTGGAAAAAAAATACTTAGACGAAAGCAAGAAAAGACCTAACTAAAGTAATTCTGAGTAATTATCAAAGAGGTGGAATGGAAGTCATGGGAAGATGGAGAGAGTGGAGAGAGGTGGATCTGTATGCAGGATGGTTTGCAGGGCAAAATGCTTCTAGTCAAAGGACCCACCCCACGAGCTGTTGTGATAAGCCCCACATGAGCAGTGTTCTGTGCAGTGACAGAAAAGTAGTCGGGAGGAGGTGTATCCAACCTTTTGACATTGTGACATGACATCACCTATGGAGTTCACACTCCAGAACCTTGCAGCCTGGCTGCACAGGCCACACACACACACACACACACACACACACACACACACCATTTTGTGTTGGCCCATAGCTGTTCAGGAGTGCAGACAGCCTACAGGCTGCAGGTCAGATGCACCTGGATGGAGAAGAGATTCTACAGTGAACTAAGTAAGTAGAACTTGGCTAGCTGAGGAGTAAAAGGTTCTAGTTGTTGAGGTTCTGTGTTAGGATGAGGAGTTAATTTTGCATATGATGAGTATTCAGTTTCTGCTGATAGAAATGATGGTACTAATTTTGAAATCCCAGGCTTCCCTGAGAAAATACAGAGTCATTGGCAAGTGGTAGGAGTGGTAATGAATTCTAAGGAAGGAGGGAAAATCAACAGAAACAAAGGCTGATTGACATGTAGAGCTTGGAGATAAGAAATAATCAGGAGAATGGAAATGGTGTTAATGAAGTTGTAAAGGCCATAACCACGTTAATTGTCGTAGGCCGGATGATCTCCCTGTGCCTGGCACTGTTCTGAGCACTTCATTATCCTAGTTATAACTCAGTATTAGTGTAGCTGCAGTTAGGCGTTGTTAGCCTCATGTTACAGGGGCACTGTGCCCCTGGGCACCATATTAATGTATTGTGAAGCTGGTGTGCCGACTTTGGAAGTCCACAGTGTTGGTAACTGTGCCTGTCTGCTTTAGAGGAGATGAGACACGGTGAAATCCCAAGTGTACTAGAAGACAACATCCAGAGAGGGTGGTCAGGGTTAGAAACAGTTCTGTGTCTGTTTTCTTGTGCAGTATTAGGTGAGTTCCTGCATCCCTGTGAAGACGACATAGTCTGTAAATGTACCACGGAAGAAAATAAAGTGCCCTATTTCAATGCTCCTGTTTATTTAGAAAACAAAGAACAAATTGGAAAAGTGGACGAAATATTTGGACAACTTAGAGATTTTGTATCCTTTATAATTGGACAGCCTGGTAATCTCATTGACAAACTACTTTCTCCTCCCAGCCCCTCAACAGGCAGTTAAGTATCAATTAAACTTCTTGCTTCATTTAGTAAGATGACATTTTTACAGACTAAGGAGGGGCAGTAGGGGAGAATACATTCATTTGTGTTTAGAAGTGATGAATCCAGGAGAGACTGTCTTTGGAAAGTTCTAGAAATGGTGGCCATTTGGATAAGTGCTATTGATTATGTTGGATATGGTGGTGCATTACGTACAATGGTTCTGCTGGAAAAATGTGGTCCTATTGTAAGAATTGATGTATATTTTTATAGAAATCTTCATTTCTTCTTGTAAATTCATTTACCGTTCATATATATATGTATATATATCTCCATACATTGTTTTAAAAATTATGCATAATTCAAAACGCTTAATGTCTTGTTCTTGTATCTCTTTCTTATTTGTTCCTTAATAAAATTAATAGTATTTTTCAGTTAAATTGTCAGAAAACATGAAGGCAGGTTCCTTTAAAAAACTACAGAAGGTGAGTCAAGCTTATGATTGCCAAGATCCTTGGATTCAAAAGGGAGTAGTGTGCTTTCAGTTAGTCCTGTTGGAATACTTCAACTCCTCCAATGTATTCCAAGTGAAACTTTTTTTTTTTTTTTGGTCTTTTTGAGCCTCTCCCTGTAGCCCTGACCTGGAACTTGATATGTAGACCAGGCTGGCCCTGAACTCAGAAATATCCACCTGCTTCTGCCTCCCAACTGCTAGGATTAAAAGCATGTATTACCATACCTGGCTCACTAGTGAAACTCTTAAACTGACATGTTCAAGTTCAGTATTACAAACATTTGAGTTTACATTTTTTGTTTTTTTGTTTTTTTAAAGTAGTCTCACAGTATAGGCTGGCCTAGAACTCACTTGTGTAGATCATCAGAATGGCTTCTCTCCTGTCTGACTTCTGAATACTAGGATTACAGGTGTGTCACCATGCACAGCCCAAATATACTAATTTTGAAAATAGTGTTTTAGCCAGACATGATGTTGCATGCCAATAGTCCCAGCACTTGGACGCTGAGGTAGGTGGATAGCAGTTTTGAGGCCAGCCTAGACAACATAATGCTAGGCGAGCTTCCATACACAAGGCTTTGTCTCAGAAACAAATCAATGGGGAGAAGTAGATACTAGTGGGTTTCACAGGTATTTCAATAACATGGTATATACTATCAATTTTTAAAATGTCATACAATTTTAGAGTGGGCCCAAGTATAGTCTGTAGGCCTCCTTGAGGAAGTGGTCTTGAAGGTGAAGGTTGAGAGCTGACTAGGAAAGCCTCTTGGAGCTGGTTGCACATCAGCTATCCCAGGGAAGTTTTTGAGACATACTTTTTGGGCCCATTCTTAGAAAATTGACCCAGTTGCTCTTAAGTAGGACCTACAATGCACTTCTGTGAAAGAAAGCTCCTACTGGGCACCATGGCCTGTTCCTTTTATCCTAGCACTGCAGAAGCAGAGGCAGGCCAATGCCTGCTTGGTCTACATAGTGAGTTCCAGGCCAGCTGGGGCAACAGGGAGACTGTCTCAGAAAAAGAAAGAAAGAAAACTCCTGGGTAATTTGATGTAGTTAGGCAAGCACTTAACCACTGGGCTAGCCGCAGAGGAGGAGATGCAGTCCACGTAGAGAAAGTAGCAGAGCACCTGAGATGTCAGCCCAAGGTTCTGAAAAGAGTGTATGGCGGGCCTAGAACACCTCGAGGGAAGGGAAGCCTCTGAATTAAGGCTGATGAAGTAGGAAGGAGCTTTGTAAGTCATGAGAGATTGTAGTTTCAACATTGTTTCTGAATAATAGGGTGGTGCCGTTAAATTTATGCTTTCAAAGAGCACTGGGGAAGGCAGCCCTGTAGGCTGTAGGAAGAGTCACAGATACTTTGGGATAAGAGGAAGTGGAGGAGGAGGTGGGGTTATGTGAAATCAGAAGTAGAATCAACACGGCTTACTTGGTAATTGATTAACTGTTGAGGTTGAGAAAGCTTAAAAAAGCTGCCATCTTTGTGGATAGTGGTCACATGTAGTGCAGAACCAGGGAGGTTGGAGCAAGATAAAGGATTTCTTTTGGGACATACTGCGTTTAAGATTCTTGGGTAGTCAAATGGTAGGAGTTCAAGGGAGGGGTAGAGGCCAGAGATAAAAGTGGGAAGTTGTCGGGGTACAGAGAATGTGCAACGGTCTAGGAGGGCTGGGAGGAGTAGAGCAGCTCACCAGGCACCTTCCAGATTTGAGTGTCTTAGGAGAGACTGAGAATTACAGCTGCCAAGAAAAGGGGCAAACTCAGGTGTGCTCCGAAAATAGACACAAATTTAGGACAGTTTCTAGGAGGAATGCTCAGCTGGGGCAGAATGTATGTAGCATTTAAATTCAGAAGCATGGTGGTCAGAGGTCAAAGAGCCGATGGAGTGGTGGGCCCAGAAGCCGGATTGGATTAGGAAGTGAGGAAGTGCCAACGTAGCATGTGGCCGCTGGTTGTAGATGCTCTGGCAGGGTGTCCTTGGAACTGAGGAGCCTAGAGAGAATCCAGTCTAGAAAGGGTTTCCCATGTGACCTGAAAAAGTTGCCTGACAGCCATGCATCGCTTCCCATCCCTGCCTTTCTCACCGCAGGGTTATTTGAGGATTTGCTGTTAACGGCTTTTGGTCTTTTGCTGCTTTCTCCCCCAATCCACTGCTGTGTTTGACTTTAGATCCTCCCTATCCAGCCTGTGTTAAAAGTCTGAAGACCATTTTAGCTCAACTGCACTTGCTGTGATGATGAACTTCCTTGACCAATACAATAGCAGTTAACTGTATGTAGGCTGAATGCATGAAATGTCCTCACATGTCACATGGGCTTAATCATTAAGTGAAAACAGCCATGCTATATGGTTAGACTGGTCCCTGCAGATTCAGATGGTCCTTGTGAGATGATCTGTGAAGGAGTAGCAGACTGTATGTAGAGTGTGAGTTTTGAAGCCCTCCCCATTTGTGTTCTGTGTGGGGACCTGGGAATAGTACACTCTCTCATTTCCTGCATGGTGTTTGTTCTGTTTAACCCTGGATATAGCTAGGTGTCATTCGCTTCTATGTATTGCCTATTATGTTCAGGAAACACTAATTGAACCCTTTCTTGAAATAGCTAGTATGCAATATTTTGGATTTTAGTGCTTACAAATCTGCTAATGTTCTTGGCAGTTCTTGAGTGAAAATGCAAATTTTGGAGGAAATCTATTTCTAAGGAAAAAATGAGATTGAATTGACCTAGGTTTTTATCTGTCAGCGTAAGTGCTGCTTCACATATATTACTTGTTATCACAGCCTTGTGATAAATACTTTTTTCAGATTTTATCCACAAGAAAGCCAAGCTATTAAAGAAAGCAGTCCTTGCCCCCATGGGATGAGTGGGTGGTAGGAGTGCACTTTATGCTGTGCCGCGCTGTCCTTGGTTGCCACGCTAACCGCTCCTGTTACACTTCAGTTTTATATAGACCCATACAAGCTGCTGCCACTGCAGAGGTTTCTGCCTCGTCCTCCAGGCGAGAAAGGACCCCCCAGAGGTGGCGGCAGGGGAGGTCGAGGAGGAGGAAGAGGAGGAGGAGGAGGCCGAGGTGGTGGAAGAGGTGGTAAGTTACCTGTGGGAGTTTCTACTGAGAGTTTTTAAAAAATATTTTATTGTTTTTATAGCCAGGCATGGTGGCGCACGCCTTTGATCCCAGCACTTAGAAGGCAGAGGCAGGCAGATCTTTGTGAGTTCAAGGCCAGCCTAGTCTACATAGTTCCAGGACAGCTGGGACTATAGGGAGACCCTGTCTTAAAAAGACAAAAAAAGTAACTAGGCAATATTTGTTATGATTTGGTCTAGAAAAAATAAATTACTTTATTTCTGATGGCACATTTTCATTTCCCCTACTTTTGTTAACTACAGAAATACAGACATGTGGACAATATCATGTTTGAGAATCACAGTGTTGCTGATCGATTCCTTGACTTCTGGAGAAAAACAGGGAACCAGCATTTTGGGTACTTATATGGACGGTACACAGAACACAAGGACATTCCTCTTGGCATCAGGGCTGAAGTGGCTGCAATTTATGAGCCTCCTCAGGTATGTAAGTGCAGGGCTTACTGAATGTGGCGCCTGGGTTTGTTGTGAAGGCACTGTGAAATTCCCTTTCTAGATGGCCTCTTTCTCACCTTGTCGTTTCTGCAGACTCTGTCTCTGGTTATACATTCTTACATATGCACACACATGTGCACATGATAATTATTTCCTTCTTGGAGGGGGGGGTTGTTTTGAGACAGGGTCTTTCTGTAGCCCCAGGCGGCCTAGAATTCACTATGTAGACCAGGCTGACCTTGAACTCACAGAGATCCACCTGCCTCTACCTCCTGAGCGATGGGATTAAAAGTGTGTGCCACCACGCCCGGCTGATAATTATCTCTTATATTATTGGAGAAGAATATCACAGCCCCTAGCTCATTTGGTAGAGTAGTTGCCTGTCATGCACAAAGCCCTGGGTTTGATCTTTTCTGCTTCATAAACTATATGTGGTGACACATACCTGTAATCCCAGCACTGGAGGC